AAAGATGACACCCTCTTTCCTGAGAATTTCACAGCCTATGGGCATTTTCTTCCTTTTTTTTTTTTTTTGGTTTGTTATTGCCCATTGATTTAGGCATGACTTAATATTCATTAATTCATTAATTAGTACCCTGTATGTACCAGTAAGGACATTGATGTGCATTGGTCGTTTTGGCAGATTGTATGAGGTCACAGAAACTAAAACACTAAAAAATGAATTATTAAGAGATATTATGCCTAATACAATATTGTGTGAAAGGATGACTAAAGAGAACAGTAGATAGCGAGTTAGAGTTTCCAGAGTCTTGTATTTTCTATGAGATGCATTTAATTCACTCTTGTTCATCCAGAGTTGTATTTAAGAATTTCTATCAACATAGCTAATGGCTTTAATACCAATAGCCCTTGCTTATTGTCTTGACTCAATTGCCACTGCATTTGTTTAGTAGAAGCTCCCAAACAGCAGCTTGTTTGGGAAATAGTGTAACTAGCAGTGAAGTCGCTGGGATGTCTTATAAAAACTTTATTGAGAGAAGCAGCTGATACAGGCCATGGTGAAATGGCAGGCCTGGTTATCACAGACCAGGAAGTCAAGAGCAAGAGGCAGTATGAGATTGAATAGAATCAGTGGGTCATGTGCTTAGCCAGGAAGCAAAGCTAAGGGAAGGATAGGTCCACAGAAAGTGAGGAGAGCACTTAAGTGTGCACTGCACATTCCTAGTTTTTTGTCTTTATTTTCTTTTTTTAAAAAAATAATTTTATTAAAAAAATTTACATTTAGCCACTGTATATCTGTACAGTGTACAACATTTCTTTTACCAGCACACATACAGTGCATATCCTTCAAGACAGACATTACCATACACATTATCATCAACAAATGGCTTTTCATTTTTGAGTCAATTGAATGTATTGTTGTCCCCCACCTCCCTGTCCCCATTCTCTCACCTCCCTCCCTCATCCTTAGGTTTTTGAGCTGCTCTGCAGAGAAGCTATAGTGCAGATGATTGGAAAGCTAGAGCACAGGAGAGGCTAATCAAAACTGTACTCTGCCAGCTGTTCTTAGTATGGGTATGGCCCCAGGGGCCTTGGGAACCCTACAAAACATACAAAGCACTTCCGGAAAAAAGCCCAATAGGAAGAAGTGGGTGTGGGCACTGCAGGAGTGCAGCAGGAGTGGACTGGGCAGGCATGAGATCACTACCTCACAAAGGGAATTCTAGTCAGACCCAAAGTGAGGGAGGTGAGTACAGGAGGCAGGCAGCCAAGTGAAGAGTATGGCACGTGGCCTGCCAGATTTTTCCAGCTAGAGCTAATAGCACAGAGGCCTTCTTGACAGAGAGGGCATATAGGCAGTGTATCCAGCTTTTAGAATTGGCACCAAAAACATGAACATTATGGGCAGTATGAAATCCTCTGTGCCAGGAAAGTGGTGGCTAACAGAGCAGAGAACATGAACTAGTGTCAGTGCAGGTTTGGTCACTCTGAATTATATGGAGGATTAGCTCATTGTTCAGAAGAGCCATGACACTGAGATTAAGATAAAGAGAATGAAAAATAAAAAGGAAATTATTTTTCTTATTAGGAAAACAATATATGATCTACAAACAAAACTATTAAAACCTTAAAAACATAAAGGAAACAAAAATGCAATAAATATTTCTAATAAAGTTGTCACCTTAAAAGATTAAAAAGAGAGCTAGCAGGTGGTGTGGTGGTTAAGGCACTGGATTCCCACATGGCCAACCGGGGTTTGAGTCCTAGGCTTGGTGACTTGAAAATCATGCTGTATGTGAGTGTATGTGTGCCCAAAATCCTAGGAGGAGAATGGTGGAGAAAGAATTGTGGCATGGCCATCCCCTCAAGGAATAATTTCTTACTCCCTCTTTCAGGAGAGCAAATGAATCTACTGGAAAAAAACAAACAAAAATAATTAAAAAGAAACTTTGTTAGCATTTGGTGTTTAATCTTCCAGTTCTTAATATGTATTTGTGTGTATGTTTTCACATGGGTAAATAATAAATGTATTTTATTTGGAATCCTATTAGATAGCCAGATGCACAATAAAGAGATAAATCAGACAGATCTATTTTCAATTTTTTCTAGGGAAGTAGTTAAAATCCTAGATTCCAGTCTATGGTAGTAAATGTGCCAAGGATAAAGTTTCATGGTTGGGATTCCCAAATGACTTAATCATTTTATGAATGTAAACACACACATACATCTTCACAAATATCACTACCCCAACATCTTCCTTACATTTGTGAACAAATACTAAATACCAGAAACAGTGGTAAAATCATCATAGAAATCTCCTAACTTCTACCTCCTAATTTCTTTTATTTTATATTTTAAAGTATAGATATACAATTGCAGGGAAATTAGACTTGCAAAGGTAGGGAGTGAAGATATCTAAGTGAAGATATGTATGTTTTTATACAATCTAGACAACTGGGAAGAATTCTCTAAGACCAGGTGAAAATGGAATCATTTCTTAATAGCACATTCCACATGTAGAAGGATTTACTTTTTTTAAAAACCTTTAAAGATCATTAAATTGTCAAACTTCCTAACATAAAGATGATCATAATATTCTCCTATAATCCTTTTAATATCTGTAGATTGTATAATTCTCTCTCATTCTTGACAGTAATATTTTTGTGTTCTTTCTCTTTTTCTCTTTAGTTTGGCTAGAGTCTTACTAGTCTTTTGCTCTTCTCAAAGAAATGGTGTTGGTCTCATTCTCTATTATTTTCTGTTCATTGTTCCTATTATTTTCTTTTTTATTCCTACACAGGATTTAATTTTCTCTTCCTTTTCTAGATTCTTTAGGTATGAGCTAAGTCTACCAAGACATTTTCCCCTAATGTTATAGTCCTATACTTTTTCAGCTAAGTTCTTCTTGGTCTGCATGCTACTGTTATGATATGTTGTATTTTCATTTTCATGTATTTGAACATAATTTATAATTTACCATTTAATTTCTTCTTTCATCTATGGTTTATTGAGAAGCATGTTGTTTAGTGTCTAAATATTTGAGGAGCTTTTCTGATATATTTATTCTATCTATTTCTAATTTAATTTTCTTGTGATCAGAGAACATAATTTGCATGATTTTAAAAATTTCAAATCTATTAAAATGTATTATATAGAATAAAAGATGTTTGAATTAATGCTTCTTAAATGCTACCGATGCTTACCTACTGTCTGAAGAGCCCTTCCTAGGCTCTTCAGCATAGAATTTAACATCCACTGTTACGCTCAGGAGGCCTTGCAAGAGATACCTGTTGAAGTGCTCCATAGGTATGGCAGAAACATTTGGAAGCCACTGGTTCAGATGAGAAGTATAGGATGGCTGATGTCGAAGATAACATTGGCCTTTTGAGTATGATTGTAGCTGGAGAATAAGAGAATCCTTCAAGACTGTGCTTTCTTGGGGCCTGATGTGTATTGATCAGGGACTTTGAGCACAGGAAAGCAATCTGATTTAATAGACACAGGGGGCTGTTAACAAGGTTTGACAGGTGTTGTCAACAGGACATGAAATTAGTCCAAATAAGAAATCAAATTAAAAAGTCAAATAACAAATCCTGAACCGTGTGATGTATGTGATTAAGGTGCATTTCCTTTTCAGTCCTCAGTTCCTTGTAAGTATTTCTATGACACACTTTATTCACCGTTTATAAAGCTTATCATGTTTGGAAATGCTTATTGAATATTTGTATCTCCTGCTTGACTACAAGCACATGAGAACACTGTTCATTATTGAATGTAATCTCGGTTCATTGTTGGATCCCCAGCACTTAGCAAAGTGCCTGGATATAGTAGATACTTATGGCCGACAGTGGCTACTGTTCAATATACCAGATTCCCCTTGTCCTGGAAAAGCAGCTAGTCTATTTCCCACCCTTCTTTGAATTAGGTATGATTAAATTATAGTCTTTATTTTCAATGTGAGTGGAAGTAACAGGTACTACTTGTATACCTAGGTCATAAAGCCTTCCCATGTGCAATATTCTACGTTGACATTAAATATGACTTGGAAAGCCTTGTGTTACTTATGAGAAACCACCAATGTCCTGAGTTCCTAAACACAGTGTATAGCCAAACCCTTTCTACTTGCAACCCCTCACTTATGCTTGTATCAGGCAGTTGAATAGATGAGAAATGAATTACTAATGTGTCTAGTCTCCACAAATATTTTTGAGTGTGCCTCCTTGCAAATTGTTGACAACATTGTTATTGTCCCTATCTCAGAAGGCCACTACTGCAGTGTTATGAACTGTTTTTCTCTCCAAATTTAGACATTACACAGATACCAATTAAAAACAGGTATGAAAAACATACACTTATTCAATTGGGT